GGGGGGACGACAGCGCAGCGGCTGTCAAGGTCCAGGAGGGACCTGGGCTTGCCTCAGTCCCCAAGCCAGGGGTGCAGAGGACTCTCCCTCCCTCCTTGGCCTCGCCCCGTTGGCACTACTGAGCGGCACAGGTTGGTCCCTGCCTGCTCTGTGCTGATGACGGGTGTCGCAGGGAAAGGTTTCCTGCTAAAGCGGGTCAAACCAGGCTCTCTGCACCTTCAGGCCCAGGGAGAAGCCTCAGCCTTGGTCCTGCTCTGCAGGGCCCAGGGGTGGCGCAGAGGACTGCGAGCCCGAGCAGCCGCCGCGCTAAGAAGCGGGGAGGCACCAGCCCCGCTCCGGCGCTCGTGGAGGGAGGCTGGTCCCAGAGAGCAGAACAGAAGCTGCAGGGATGGGCACCCGCTCCCCCTCCCCAGCCAGCGCGGTGCCTCTGCAGGGACCAGTTGCACCCATCCCCGGGTGTGATGCCTGCCTTGGTGCTGCCCCCTCTGCCCCCAGTCCTTTTTGGCCATAGTCCTCCAAACGCAGGGCTTGTCCCCACCTTCTTTGGAGCGCGGGGAGCGTGGGGGGCAGCTGTCCTGCCCGAGCCAGGTCTGTGCTCCCTGGGAGAGGATGTCCCAGGGTAATGCTGAGGAAAAGCCAGGCAAAGCCGAGCACTACACGGCTTCACGGACAGCCGGGCTCTCCGGCACAGCCAGGCAGGCACTAACGGCACAGGTAAGGTGTTTATTTTCTGCCTCTCCAGCAGGAAGGGGGTGAGATGCTGAGGGCTCGGAGTCCAGTTTGGAAGTCACTGCTTTGAGACGGTGAGTTGGAAGAGAAAATGATGGAGATGCTGGTGGGAAACCAGCCTTCCCCTGCTACCCTGTGCCTTCCTGTAGATGATGTGGCTTCGTCCCCAGCCTGGGGCTGGAGAGGGAGAGAAGAGCTGCGGATGCACTTGGCTTGCTCCAAGTCCTCGGGCGCTCAGCTAGAGTTCGTTCTTGCAGGAACCTGGGAAGAGAGGAGGGGAAAAAAAAAAAGCAATCCAGCGATGTTGCCAGCCTGAGTTTGGTTTGTCTCTTTCCCCGAGAAGGATGAGGTTGACCTCAGCCTCTGTGCACCCACACTCGCTGCTTTCCTCTTGCCAAACAGCCCCAGCCTGGCTCTGTCCCACCGCAGTTGGGAGCATCACTCTCGCCTCCCCGGCGTGCCTGGGGAGTCCTGTGCAGAGTCCCAAGGTGGGGGGAAAGCCGGTGACAATAACACGGGTGACTGCGGCACAGCCACGTGCGGTTGTGAGTCTGTCGTGCTGCTGACGGGCTGTGTTACAGCCCAGCAGTGACAGCCTGTGCTGAACTGGGGATAATTCAGACTTGGAGGGGCTAAAATGGTTATGGCTTAAAGAGATCCGATCTTGTGCCTTCACTGGCGGTTCAGACAAAAGGAAATGGTTTTTAGTCCTTATCCCCGCTGGGCAGATACTTGGGGCGTGCAGTTGTACCAGCATTCAGTTGTGAACTGCTGTGCAAGGCAGAGAAAACGGACAGCTACTTCACTCTCCGTGGGATGCCCTGCCAGCCCCAGTGCCTGCTGGAGCACAAAAGGACAGTCTTGTGCCCTCCAGGGAATTTCAAGACCGTGAGAGGGACAAAAAACCAAGTTTTGCTTGCAGGAACAGGCTTGGCAGAAGTTAAATTCAGGGCTTCGGAGTCATCGCTTGGAATAAATCCATGTTACCTTGTGATACTGCTCGCATTCCTTGGTGCTGTCACTAATAATATGTACAAGGCAATACCAGGAAACTCACTCTGTTGGAACACTCAGTGGTTCTGGTGATTACCCCTTTCTGCAATGTTTTTTAAGTGTCTCTTTGCAGCTACTTACTCTTCAAACAAGTTCTTTGAAGTCTTTTATATCTAAGCCATTACTGCAAGCAGTGACCTGGGACTAGATACGCCCTGAAGTCTTTCCAGGCACCCTCACCCCTCTGCCACGAGCACCAGGCTGCTGCTGCACACCCGCTCCTGGGCTGGCCCAGCCGTGCCTGGTTTCTGGGTGTGTTTGACCAGAATTATTTAATGGGAAAACAGGCTGCAAAGAGCTGCCCATCAAAATAAAGTGTTCATACGGCTTGTGCTCTACTGGGAGGCAAGGTGCAGGGCTCCAGGGGGAGCTCAGGCACCCACGGGGACGCTGCCCTGCTCTGCGGTGCCGCGGGGGAACACGCCAGGCAGCACCCACCGCCTTCAGCCATTTCACACGACGGCTCTCACCGCCGTCTCTTCTTCAGCTTTCGCTACTTGGGAGACCCTCTCTGGTCCACTGCTTGGCCAAGGACTGGTCTGTAGACTTCAGAAAGAAATGCCTAAAACTTCCCAGGCTCGTAAATCTGCCAACTTCTGCACGCTCCCTAAACTCTCCTGATTGACTTTTCGGACTGTTAATTTCCTAAGAGCTGGGGTTTCTTTTCCAAAGACTAAGCTGTATCAGTACAGGGAGGCAACGCAGCCGGCGAGGGTGCTGATCGTGAGATGTGACCTCATAGGGGGCTCCCTCGGCTTGTGCCCCAGAGCCACATTTCCAGATGCTGATCTTACGATTTCTGGGTGCTGCAAGGGCAGTCAGATGGCGCAGCCATAGAAACAGCTTTGAAATGAAGCTAATGGGCTGTTTGTGTTCATCTTTTATTAATTACAGGCTGCTGAGCTTGAGGGAGATATAGATTAATAGTGGCATATGTGTTACTGATCTCGCTGGCCCGCAATCTGCTCACCGTGGCCAGCGTGGGTGGAGCGAAATATTTCAACCCTGCTTTTTTCCAGGCACTTACACGTCTCCAGACGCTCCTCAAGGAAAGAGATCTGCTCGCTCAGGGAGTCGATTCTGTCCAGTTGCTGGAGGGAGTGGGACAGCCGGCTGATGGGATCTGCGCCGACATCCTCCGGCGCAGATGGCATGAGGTTGTGGAAGGGGGCCAGCACCGACTGGAGTTTCTGCAGGGAGAAACCCGTGAGCGGCTCCTCCGCAGCCGGGAGGACCACCGGGCGGGGGGTAGCACACTGCCAGCCGGGGTGCACCCCACGGGGGCGGCGTGCCGGCCGGCTCGCGGGGCTTCGGTTGCCTTCAAAGGGCCGCTGGGCTGGAAGAGCCGCTGCGTGGGCACTG